ATCTAATTGACTTTACTGTCTCCAGGTTTGAGTCTTCCACTAAACTAGAAGTTAGCCAGCCTCATTTTATTCCTATTTATTTTATAATGGCTATATAATTTTGAAACCACTGTTCTACTGTTAAACACTATGCTGTGGGAGAAAATGGATAATTTTATTTTCTATTTAAAAAAAACGAGGGTATTCAAATAGGAAAGGAGGAGGTCAAACTGTCTCTATTTGCAGACAACATGATTGTATATCTAGGAGACCCCATGGTCTCAGCCCAAAATCTTCTGAAACTTATAAGCAACTTCAGCAAAGTTTTAGGATACAAAATCAATGTGCAAAAATCACAAGCATTCCTATATACTAATAACAGACAAACAGAGCCAAATCAAGAGCAAACTCCCATTCAAAATTGCTACAAAGAGAATAAAATACTTAGGAATACAACTAACAAAGGATGTAAGGGACCTCTTCAAGGAGAACTACAAACCACTGCTCAACAAAATAAGAGAGGTCACAAACAGATGGAAAAACATTCCATGCTTATGGTTAAGAAGAATTAATATCATGAAAATAGCCATACTGCCGAAAGTAATCTGTAGATTCAGTGTAATCCCCATAAAGCTACCAATAACCTTCTTCACAGAATTGAAAAAAACCAATTTAAACTTCATATGGAATCACAAAAGACCCCGCATAGCCAAAACAATCCTAAGCAAAAAGAACAAAGCTGGAGGCATCACATTGCTGGACTTCAAACTATACTACAAAGCTACAGTCATAGTCATCAAAACAGCATTCTTGTTTTTGTCAGATTTGTCAAAGATCAAATGGTTGTAGATGTGTGGTGTTGCTTCTGGGCCTCTGTTCTGTTCCATTGGTGTATGTCTCTGACAAAATCAAATCTGACAAAAACAAGCAATGGAGAAAGGACTTCATGTTTAATAAATAGCCATGGGAAAACTGGCTAGCAATGTGCAGAAAGCAGAAACTGGACCCCTTCCTGTCAACCTTACACTAAAATCAACTGCAGATGGAAGATTTAAACATAAAAATTAATACCATAAGAACTCTAGAAGAAAACATAGGCAAAACCATCCAGGACACAGGCATAGGCAAGGACTTCATGACTAAAACACCAAAAGCAATGGCAATAAAAGCCAAGATAGTCAAATTGGATCTAATCAAAATTCAGAGCTTCTGCACAGCAAAAGAAACCATCATTAGAGTGAACTGGCAACCAACAGAATGAGAAAAAATTTTTGCAATCTACCCATCTGACAAAAGGCTAATATCCAGAATCTACAAAGAACTATAACAGATATACAAGAAAAAAAAACAAACAACCCCATTCAACAGTGGGTGAAGGATATGAACAGACACTTTTCAAAAGAAGACATATATGAGGCCAAAAACATATGAAAAAATGCTCATCATCACTGGTCATTAGAGAAATGCATATCAAACCACAATGAGATACCATCTTACAACAGTTAGAATAGCAATCCTTAAAAAATCTGGAGACAACAGATGCTGGAGAGGGTGTAGAGAAATGGGAACACTCTTACACAGTTGGGAGTGTAAATTAGTTCAACCATTGTGGAAGACAGTGTGGCGATTTCTCAAGGATCTAGAAATAGAAATTCCATTTGATCCAGCAATCTCATTACTGGGTATATATCCAAAGAATTATAAATCGTTCTACTATGAAGACACATGCACACGTATGTTCATTGCAGCCCTGTGTACAATAGCAAAGACCTGGAACCAACTCAAATGCCCATCAATGATAGACCGGAAAAGAAAATGTGGCACATATACACCATGGAGTACTATGCAGCCATAGAAAATGATGAGTTCGTGTCCTTTGTAGGAACTTGGATGTATCTGGAAACCATCAGTCTCAGCAAACTGACACAAGAACAGAAAACCAACACCGCATGTTTTCACTCATAGGTGGGTGTTGAACAACAAGAACACATGGACTCAGGGAAAGGAGCATCACACACTGGGGGCAGTTGCAGGGGTAGGGGAGGGACAGCAGAGCAGGGGGAGGGATAGCATGGGGAGAAATGCTGGATATAGTATACACCTAAAGTAAAAGAAAAAGAAAAAGAAAAAAGAAATTAAACTCTGAAAAAAAAAAAAAAAAAAAAAAAAAAAAGAGAGAACTGGCAGGGTGCAATAGCTCAAGCCCCACTTGAGCCCAGTAGCCCAGGACCAGACTGGGCAACACAGTGAGATGTGTGGCCAGGCTCCTTTAGAATCTATTTAATGATAAGGTGGAACAAGAGACTTTCAACATGCAGATCCAGCACCAAAATCCACTGTGCAAGAAACAAAAGCATATGTGATAATGCTACTGTTGTGTTCCATGATTCCCACAGGGCAGGTCAGCACATGAATTAGAAGGCAAGGGAGTCAACTTTAGAGGAAATTCAGTTGACTACAGATACCTTAGTAAAACCTAGAGTCCTGTTGTAGTAATTATGATTAGCAGAAATATCCCTTCATTTCCTAATTTATGCATATAAAAATTATATGTCAAGTTTAAGCACCATATAAGACAATGTTAATAACTACAGCATTGGCAAATGACTATGTATCATGAAGGGTTAGGATTATCACCCCACAAGTCTGAAGTACCAAAAAGAAAAAAAATTCTAGTACTAGTAATTGAGACCTAGTGACTGTGATTTGCATACATTTGATTACTGAATCCTCACACTAACTTTGTTATTTACAGGTCAGTGTCCCATTCAACAAATGACAAATATGAACCAGGTTCAGAACGCTTTATTAATACAACAAAGTCACACAGCTAGAAAATGACACAGCTAGAATTTTAACTAAGGTTTGTCTCTGAATCTCAAATTTCTAAAAGGGCTTATTTTGAGAAACAGATATCAGACCCAGCTTATCATTTGTCAGATAAATGATCAGAGACCCCCTCCTTTTCATCCAGTCCACACAATGAGTCCTCATGCTCTCTCGCACATGGCAAACTCCACTGCAATGACCCTACTTCCCAAACTTCATGCCCCAGCTCTCTTCAGTCTACCCACACTTAGCCATTTCAGCACATACCCAACAGACAAATGATTCTTACATCCCTCCAGTATTTCACCACTCTGGTGATCGAGAGCCGAGTCCCAGACGACACTGAATAGCTCTCCTTTCCGAGGCTGCTTTGCCAATTTAGGGTTATCACAGAGTCAACATAGATAGTCATGAAGCTAATGATAAAAAGGGATCTGTGCCTTATTTGTGTAATAAAATAAAAAATAAATTTTAATGCTCTTGGGAAATCATGCTACCCCTGAAATGCAACTGAGAATATCAGAAGGAAAATTCTTTCTTTCTTTTATTTTTTTTTTTTTTGAGACGGAGTTTCGCTCTTGTTACCCAGGCTGGAGGGCAATGGCACGATCTCAGCTCACTGCAACCTCCGCCTCCTGTGTTCGGGCAATTCTCCTGCCTCAGCCTCCTGAGTAACTGGGATTACAGGCACGCGCCATCATGTCCAGCTAATTTTTTTTTGTATTTTTAGTAGAGACGGGGTTTCACCATGTTGACCAGGATGGTCTTGATCTCTTGACCTCGTGATCCGCCCACCTCGGCCTCCCAAAGTGCTGGGATTACAGGCTTGAGCCACCGCGCCCGGCCGGAAAATACTTTCTTACCTTTTTATTATACACCAGAATTAGCTGACAATTTTGTTTGTTTATTATTTATTTATTTATTGATTGATTGATTGATTGAGAAGGAGTCTTGCTCTGTCATCCCGGCTGGAGTGCAGTGGCACAATCTTGACTCACTGCAACCTCCATCTCTAGGGCTCAAGCGATTCTCGTGTTTCAGCCTCCCAAGTAGGTGAGACAACAGGTGTGTATCACCATGCCCAGCTAATTTTTTTATATTTTTAGTAAAGATGCGGTTTCACCATCTTGGCCAGGCTGGTTTACAATTCCTGGCCTCAGGCAATCTGCCCACCTTAGCCTCCCAAAGTTCTAGGATTACCGGAATGAGCCACCAAACCCAGCCCTAGCTGACGATATTTAATATGAAGGTATCATAAAGTATGTTAACATAAAAATATACTATTATAGCAATGGAAGAAAGCTTTATTAAAAGGAAAAAATTTCTTTATTGAAAGAAAAAAATTTCTCTTTATTGAAAGAAAAAATTTCTTTCTAGTTTAAGAAATTATTGCTGGCCGGGTGCGGTGGCTCACGCCTGTAATCCCAGCACTTTGGGAGGCCAATGTGGGTGGATCATGAGGTCAAGAGATCGAGACCATCCTGGTCAACATGGTGAAACCCCGTCTCCACTAAAAATACAAAAAATTAGCTGGGCATGGTGGCACATGCCTGTAATCCCAGCTGCTCAGGAGGCTGAGGCAGGAGAATTGCCTGAACCCAGGAGGTGGAGGTTGCGGTAAGCCGAGATCGCTCCATTGCACTCCAGCCTGGGCAACAAGAGCGAAACTCCATCTCAAAAAAAAAAAAAAAAAAAAAAAAAAAAAACAGAAAAGAAAAGAAAAGAAATTATTGCTAAATTAAAAACAGATAATGGCCGGGCTCGGTGGCTCACACCTGTAATCCCAGCACTTTGGGAGGCCGAGGCGGGTGGATCACGAGGTCAAGAGATTGAGACCATCCTGGTCAACATGGTGAAACCCCGTCTCTACTAAAAATACAAAAATTAGCTGGGCATGGTGGCGCGTGCCTGTAATCCCTGCTACCCAGGAGGCTGAGGCAGGAGAATTGCCCGAACCCAGGAGGCGGAGGTTGCGGTGAGCCGAGATCGCACCATTGCACTCCAGCCTGGGTTAGAAGAGCGAAACTCCATCTCAAAAAAAAAAACAAAACAGATAATGACATAAAAATGTTTTTGGCCAGAGATATGATAATGGACAATTATGGCAGCTGCAAAAAAAGGTAGAGGCCATTATTTCCCATCTCCAAAATTAGTAAGCTAAACTGCGTTGATTAGCTTATAATTTAATATGTAAAACTGGTTTTTATGCACACAAACACGATAACCATTTAAAATGGGCTACAAAGTGTCTATATACATACATTTTTGTAATTCCATAAGCACATGGAGTATTCTCATTGCTAGTATAAAAACTACCACATATCAGCACATAGGAATACCCAATGGACATTGAGATCAAATGCTACCAGGTCAATTCCATGACAAATTATGTCCAAACAAATGCAAGCACACAATTAGGGATTGCAGCTTTCTTCATAATGGCCAAATAAGGAACGAGGAAATAAACCAGGATGCATCTACATGCAAAACAGCACTAAGCCATAGAATTTAATGAACAGACTATGCAACGACATGATGAGTCTCAAATGCATATTCCTTAATGAAAACAGCCAATCTGAAGAGAGCACATACTGTTTGATGTCACTTACATGACATCCTGGAAATACCAAAACTACAGAGATGTAAATGGAGCAGTGGTTGTTAGTGGCTTGTTGGGGCTGGACTGCTGCAGAGAAGGTCCAATGGGAGGTTGAGTTCATCTCCCTTGGTTGACACAATCACACTGGGCATGTGTGGGAAAGCTGGGCTGTGCAGTGCCAGCATAAAAAAGAAGGCCACTTCTCATGCTACCAGAGGAAGGTCTTCTTCCATCACACATGTAAGGCTGTCAAGGCCAGTTCTGAGGAGAATATTTTGCGGATATTTGGTATGAATCCATAAGTGATTCTTTACATGGGGACAACTTCACTCTCTGGTATTCTGCTTTTCCTGTGCTGGGCAGTGAAGCTCCTTTATTTCATTCTCTGTGTTCAACTCAATTCTTTTGGTCTCTATTTCTAGCTACTCAATCATCTTAGGAAATTTGTTCTAGCAGCTCAAAAGTGGCCAGTGGGCCCTTACCTCCTCTGAGAGGTTTTTGTCCCAACAGGGAACACTTTGCACTGATCCCTGAAGCAGTTCCACTCCTCAAGGCAGCCACCCACCCAGGCACAGGACAGGGCAGCTGGCGAGTTAGAAGAATAGGGATGCTGAACTTTGGGAATGTGAGAGGGCAAGAGGTACTTACGCAAGCAGCACTGTGACACTGCCTTGTCCCAGAAAAGAGTAGGCACTGCTCAGGGAAGACCTCAGGGCAGGGCGTGTGAAGAGTCCTCCTGTGAGAGCAGGTCATGCAGACTCGAGCAAGGCGGTGCTGTTATTTATAGACAGGATATTAGAAAACGTTTGCCTATGTTTGCGTTACTTTGGAGTGAGAACTCTCCCAAAACTTAAAGCCTTTCATAATTATTGTAGTATGAACCCCTTAAGACAGGGAAGGAACGAGCTTTTCATCAGACCTCAACATGTTCCCTGAACTGTGAGACTTTTGGGTGCTGACCTTGTCTTGCTTCTGAGTTTATGCTTGTTCATTTATATAGTGTTCCCTCTCACCCTCCCAGAGAATGTTCTTTAAATGCTATTCTCTGTTAGCAAATACAAATTCTCAAATCACATTAGATTTTCAGCACATGGAGGAACTCAAGTAGACTCCAGCTCATAGTTGAGGCTTTTCTCTCTCTGAGCCTCACCTCTCAAGTTGCCACATTTATCCAAGTTAATTAATTTAAATAATCAAAACAGAAGCTTATGAGGTAGTGTTCCCAAGCCCTAGTAATAGCAGGGACCACAGAAAGTGGCATGACATACAACAGGTAAATAATAATAAAGTATTTTTAAAAGAGGAGGAGCAAAAGTATTGCCCTGTGCTTTTGCCCCACCAACACATACACTCACATGCATAAGTAGACACATGCACACACACCACAAGTTCACATGTGTACACACACGGTCTCCTCCTCTGAAGATGGAACATCATCATTGTCACTTGTGCCATCCATGTGCAGCAATCCTGGGTTGCTGAGTCCAGCTCTTTTCTGTTGTCTGACACCATCCTGTAGATCTTTGGACATTTTTTTTTCTCACATGTTTAGGTATTCTCTCACCAGCTGGATTTGGAAGAACTCATGGAGGGCCAAGACCTTTGGGATTCTGAGGGGGACACTTGCCCATGTTCTCTTCAGTTATTTCAGCCACATCTCTGTAAACACGTGGTTGATAGGCTTGTCTAAAAGGCACCTGCCCACCATGATATGATAGTGCCACTCTGACACACAACAGTACAGCCAGTATTCAAAATCTATAGCTGACTCGAGATCTTTAACTTGCTGAAAATGTGCTTTTGAGAATTTTTGTTTTAGTGTTCACTCTGATTTCTTAAGAATAGAGACTGATGCTCTACGTAAACCGTAACTGGGCCCTAGAAGCAGATGTGATAGAGTGGAACAGGTTTCGATTAAATCAGGGGTAGTGGGCTGAATAACGCTCCCAAAGGTACACAGTCCTGACTCCTGTAAACTGTAAATGTTTCCTTGTATGGGAAAGGGAGTTTTTGCCGTTGTAATTATTAAGGCTCTTGAGATAAGGAGATTATCTTGGATTAGCCAGGTAGACAGAGGCAGAGAGAGGAGGGATAGGCCTACTGCCTTGGAATGCCAGCCACCAGCAGGAGCTGGAGAGAATCCTGGAACAAATTCTCCCTCAGACCCTCCTAAAAAAATCAACACCACTGGCACCTTGGTTTTGGACTTCTGGCCTCCAGAACTGTGAGGGTGTATGTTTCTAATGTTTTAAGTCACCAGAGTTGTAGTGATTTGTGACAGCTACCCTGGGAAATAAACACAACACAAGGCTTGGAATCCCAGCTTCATCTCATACTCTATGAGACTGGCATAGTATTCAACCTCATTGAGTCTCAGTATCTTCATCTGCAAAATCAGATAAATAATAGCTGCTTCATGGAGTTTGTGAAAATTAAATAAGTTAATCTAGCACAATGGTGGGCACACAGTGGGTTCTGGTGAAAGCTTAGCAATTTAACCAGTGTTCTGGAGTGGCTGCAAGGTTTGTTCACTGAGTAACAGGTGAATTCTTTATTCCAAAGTAAGACAAACATGGGAAACTGCCTTTTTATGGTAAATGTCCAGAGCTGGTAGAAGTAACTACTTCAACAGGCAGGGTAGTTGTCACTCCTGCAAGCTTTGGGTCCAAAGTCTCAGCCACATTTCTCTGGAGAAGAAGCTTTTTCCGACAGATAAGTCTTTCTGTGTTTAGTATGTGGTACAGTTGACAGCTTGCCTCTCTGTGCTTGCTTAACGTGCTGGTGTGAAAGCGATTTTGTAACTAAGAAAAATTGAAGTAACTTCTATCTCTTACTTTAGCAAGAACTAGGATTGGGTAAGGAAGGGTAATCCAGCTGATGTACAAGGAGATAAATATATTTTGCTTTTTCAATTGTAGAAATGAATGACAGGGTCTTAGAGTCATAATAACAACCAACTTATCTTACCCTTCCCCCTTTTCACCCATGGAACACCTATCAGCCTCTTATCCCACGGAAAACCCTTAATATGACTCTTCTTCCCCAGAGATTGAAGACTGCCAGGGGCTGTCTGTGTGAGCCTTCTACAAAAGCAGAGTAACTTTGTTGCTGACAAAGAAATTACTTTTTACCCAAAGATAACTTTCTTCGTCAATTCTTTCTCCATTCCAGTAGAGCACCTTCAGTGGCTCCCTGGGCAGTGCTCCTTTAGAAGAAAACCTCCAGACCTCAGGTCCTTCCTGTCTAAGATGAGGGAGGCTGGCATTTAGAAACTCACTAAAAATCCATGTTTTAAAGCATTTTCCAGCCAATTCATTCCAAAAGACAACAATTTTTCTTAGTACCCAAACTAATTATTCAATAATGTGCTGTGATACTCACCCAGCACAGGCTGGAGACAAGATGGGCTGTGAACTCTCGGGAGGTGGTGGCTCAAGGCGTCCACAGGAGCGGGGCTTGGGCTCCCAGAGGTGTTGGGGCTGAAGTGTTAGTTTAGGTTTAATTAGAAATAACTTGGTAAATCTGAAAAACAATAATTGGGAAAAGTGTTAAAAAGACCCAGCCCGGGAGCACGAGACAAAATCCGGCAGTTGCTTCCCGCGGCCGCCAGGGGTCACTGCGCACCTGGGGAGGTGGGGGCGGCCGGGGGTCAGTGCGCACCTGGGGAGGTGGGGGCGGCCGGGGTCAGTGCTCACCTGGGGAGGTGGGGGCGGCCAGGGGTCAGTGCCGACCTGCAGAAGAGGCATCCGGGAGTCAGTGCGCATTTGCGGAAAGGCATTCTGGGTGTCATGGCACACCTGCAGAGGGTGTGGTCTGAGAGTTAGTGAGCACATGCGGAGGGGGAGGGACAGGGCCAGTGCGAACTTGCGGAGGAGGCGGCCGGGGGTGGGGTGTCAGTGCACACCTGGGGAGGTGGGGGCGGCCGGGGTCAGTGCGCACCTGGGGAGGTGGGGGCGGCCGGGGGTCAGTGCCGACTTGCAGAAGAGGCATTCAGGAGTCAGTGCGCATTTGCGGAAAGGCATTCTGGGTGTCACGGCACACCTGCAGAGGGTGTGGTCTGAGAGTTAGTGAGCACCTGCGGAGGGGGCGGGACAGGGCCAGTGCGAACTTCCTGAGGGGGCGGCCGGAGGGGGGTGTCAGTGCACACCTGGGGAGGTGGGGGCGGCCGGGGTCACTGCGCACCTGGGGAGGTGGGGGCGGCCGGGGTCAGTGCACACCTGGGGAGGGGGCGGCTGGGGTCCGTGCTCACCTGGGGAGGTGGGGGCGGCCGAGGGGTTCAGTGCGCACCTGGGGAGGTGGGGGCGGCCGGGGTCACTGCACACCTGGGGAGGTGGGGGCGGCCGGGGGGTCACTGCGCACCTGGGGAGGTGGGGGCGGCCGGGGTTACTGCGCACCTGGGGAGGTGGGTGCGGCCGGGGGCAGTGCGCACCTGGGGAGGGGGGGGCGGCCGGGGGTCAGTGCCGACTTGCAGAAGAGGCATTCAGGAGTCAGTGCGCATTTGCGGAAAGGCATTCTGGGTGTCACGGCACACCTGCAGAGGGTGTGGTCTGAGAGTTAGTGAGCACATGCGGAGGGGGCGGGACGAGGCCAGTGCGAACCTGCGGAGGGGGCGGCCGGGGGGGGTCAGTGCTCACCTGGGGAGGTGGGGGCGGCCGGCGGGTGTCAGTGCGCAACTGGGGAGGCGGGGGCGGCTGGGGTCACTGCGCACCTGGGGAGGTGGGGGCGGCCGGGGTCGGTGCGCAGCTGGGGAGTGGGCGGACGGGGCCAGTGCTCACCTGGGGAGGTGGGGCGGCCGGGGGTCAGTGCAGACCTGCAGAAGAGGCATCCGGGAGTCAGTGCGCATTTGCGGAAAGGCATTCTGGGTGTCATGACACACCTGCAGAGGGTGTGGTCTGAGAGTGAACACCTGCCGAGGGGGCGGGCCGGGGCCAGTGCGAACCTGCGGCGGGGCGGACATGGGGACCAGTGCACGTCTGAGGAGGGAGCGGTTCAGGCGTCAGCGCACATCTGGGGACAGGGGCGCTCTGGGAGTCAGTGCGCACCTTCGGAGGGGGCGGCCAGGAGTCAGTGCGGACCTGGGGAGGGGACAGCATGGGGGTCAGTGCGCACCTGCGGAGGGGCGGCAGGAGTGGAGAGAAGGAACCAGGAGGGATGTGTAGGGAGACGGGAGAGGGCTTTGGGGGGGACCCTGGAGTGAGATTTGGGGGAACACGGAGTAGGGTCTGAGGGGACAGGGGGAGTGTTAGGAGGACCCTGCAGTGGAATGTGAAAGGACTGAGACAGAGGTGTGGAGGGGCCAGCAGAGAATATGGGAGCATGAGGGGTTGGGAGGGTTGTGGGGACCCTGGAGTGGGATGTAGGGTGACGAGGAGGGGATGTTTGGGGAACAGGGTCGCTGGGGGAATGTGGGGAGATGGGGGAAGAGGATTGGGACCTGGAGTGGTAGGTGAGAGGGCTGGCAGGTGGGCCTTGAGGACAAGGGTGGCTAGGGAGGGGGATGTAGGGGGCACTAACTTTGGGATGCTGGGAACAACGTGGTGGGGGGCTGGACAGAGTCGGGGAGACTTCCTGTACTCTTGTGGAAATGCATCCTGAATAGTCACTAGACCAGAAGCTCACAGCACAGAGCAGTTTTAGTTGACACAGCCCATAATGGCAAACCAAATCCATGTGGACAAGCTTAGATGGACGCGAGATTTTTCTGGAAGGATTCTTCAATGCCAAGAGTGGGCATGGAAATAGAAGAGTGGGGAAGGAAACAAACCTTATTTTTCATTTCATAACCTTCGGAACTCTTAATTTTTTTCTATGTGCATGTGTTACCAGGTAATAAGAATTAATTTTAAAAAAATATTTAATAAGAGTGTAGAGGCATGAAGGACTAAGGTAAGGCATGAATAAATTATAGTGTGCTTGAAGTCTTCACCATATGGTGAAAGGACAAAGAACCAGGAGTATTGTTTTCCACATCACAATATCATGATTTGACTGAAGAAATGTATCTATCTGTATGTGAAATCAAAGTTAATGTTCTCAAATAATTCAGACTTGGATTTTTCAATAAATTTATAGAAATCGTTTTATTCAAAGACTAAGGAAAAAAGGATGAGAAATTAAGTCTGGCAATACAATTACAGACCCTCTGGTGTATTCTCATGGGAAAACTAACGTTTTAAGTAAAATGGACAGCACAGTAGTTAAGATAAAAATTGGAGAAAAGTCTATGAAATTACTGACTTTGGTAGTCCAGCCAAACATTTTCTTCCGAAAAGCATCCAGAAATCTAATTATTTAAGGACATCAAGGTATAGTATATAAAGCATTTTTGTATATATTAGTTCCTCTTTTCCGCTGGGAGGGAGGATCTGAATTATTATCAGACTCCTAATGAGAAAACTCTCTGAGAAGGGAGAACCCTGCCTTGGGTCAGAATGGGCAAATGAGAGAGAAAAAGGTGTGAGAGCTTGGACCCAGGCCCTCTGACTCTGCAGCGCCCTATTGAAGTGGCCTCCTTGCCTGAGGGTATGAAGCCAAAGGGGCAGACAGAGGAGTACACTTTGGTCATTCATACCTTAAATTATCATCTTACCAAGGAACCACCTTTCCCAATTAGGTGACCAATTCACTTATTTATCCTTTTAGTATTTCTTAGAAATATCAAAGCCAGCATACACACTATCCCTTAGTATAAATTATAGAGTCAGTAAACTTGAATTTATTGTTTCAGGCCACTCTGATAAAGGTAAATTGAGTAAAGTGAAAACCTGAAACAGCTTGGGTTAGAATACTTTTCAAAGATTTTGGTGCCAATTTATGACTTTCCCATTGCTACCCTCATATTCTCTTTGCTTTAGGCCCTTTTTTCCTTCAGATTTATAGGTTTTATGAACAAATGTTAACATTTTCAAGAGACAGAGTGTGAACTATGAAGTGTAGTTTTTATTCAGCAAATTTTAGTTTCCACTTGAAACTAATTTATTTTATAAATTGTTAACTGTTTTAAATTCGGTTAGGGGAAGAGAGTGTGGTGATTCCTCAAAGATTTAGAACCAGAAATACCATTTGACTCAGCAATCACATTACTGTGTATATACCCAGAGGAATATTAAACATTATCATTATAAAGATACATGCACATGTATATTCATTGCAGCACTACTCACAATTGCAAAGACATGGAATCAACCCAAATACTCATCAATAATAGACTGGATAAAGAAAATGTAGTACATATACACCATGGACTACTATGCAGCCATAAAAAAGAAAACCATCATGTCCTTTCTGGGGATATAGATGGAGCTGGGAGCCATTATCCTCAGCAAATCAACACAGGAACAGAAATCCAACACTGTATATTCTCACTTGTAAGTGGGAACTGAACAATGGGAACACATGGACTACAGCGAGAGAAACAACACGTACTGGGACCTGTTTGGAGGGAGTGAGGAGAGGGAGAGCATCAAGAAAAATAGCCAATGGATGTTAGGCTTAATACCTAGATGAAGGGTTGATAGGTGTGGCAAACCACCATGGCACATGTTTACCTAGGTAACAAACCTGCACGTCCTATATATGTATCCCGGAACTTAAAATAAAAATAAAATTTAGAAGTAACCACCCTCCCCCAAGAAAAAAAAAGGACAAGTGAGAGGCGTTAAGAGGTTTGTTTCCATGCTACCCTGTTCCAGAAAAGATCTGAAACCATTTACACCAGGTTCGGAAGGGGACTTAACCCAGATTCACAGTGAGCAGTGCCAAAGCTGGGCCAGACACATCCCTCTGGAGGCAGCAGCTCCCCAACATGGGACAGATCAGAGAATGGTGTGAGAGTGGAAGCTCCAGGCAGAATAAATCCCGAGATCATCAACGTGGTTCGCTGCAGGGAACAAGAGGACCCTTGGGTAATACCTGAAAATTTATAATTCACCATGTAGGATTTGTGTTCCTAGAGAAGCAAGTCGGTCAGTGGGGGTGGTGGCGGCGGGGGCAAGTGCATTGTACAAGGGAATGCTGTAGCTCCTAAATACCCGAGGACATGAGGGAAATTGGTTAGTGACATCAGAGGAGTCAGCAACAGCACTGTGACCAGGCTTGAGTAAGGACGTGAAGCTGATGAGAGTTCCTGGACAGGATGGTGGGTGAGGTGGGTACCTGGGTAATAGGAAAAAAGGAAGCAGAGGCCTAGGGGAATTCATGATGAACCAGGTCACCTTAGGGCATATGGGCAAAGGGGATCGAACAGTTAATTTTTAAAAAAAAAAACATTGTGTGTCTCCTCGAGCTTTAGCACCAGCGATGTACATAGTAATAAGACACAGTTCCAGCCCTCCAGCCTCACCACAGGGAGCAGATGACAAACCCTAAACTGGTTACTACATGCAATGAAAGAAATATTGCACTGGGGAACTCGGCAGGGCATGAAGACCTGTGCAAACGGTTAGGAAAATGAGATGAATTCTTCCTGGAAAAGGGTGACAGCTTGTGGAGCG